TGTGTGTGTGTGTGTGTGTGTGTGTGTGTGCAGCTGACCTGCGAGTTACTGCACCGACAGCCAGCCGGTCTGTTTCCGGTGGAAAATCGAGGCGACAATTCACCGATCGTAAAAGAAAGCAAAGGAACCGGTTGATTCTGGAAACAACGAACGGTCAGGATAACACGTCTTGACCGGGAATCGCGAACCCAGCACGATCATGGAAAACAGGAAGGGATTTGTTCTTCTTCGTTTATCAGAAACGAGTGGCAAACGAGTGCCAAACGTGAAAAGATACCTCGGAGTTCTCGGAGCGCACGAACTTTCTAATCTTTTTGGCAGCGAACGAACCTTCCGTTTTTCAACGAAACAAGGTAGAGCGGCTCGAAAGATTAATCAAGTAAATTGGATCCTTTAATCCTCGAGGAAGAGGAATTATTTCTGCTGTGAGAACGGTGGAGAATAGAAAATGTATAATTCATCTCAGGGATATTTCCCCAACGTGAGAGACGTTGGTCAAAACAGTGACGAACGAGTGAAACGAATAGGAGAATAGTTCTCGCACTATTTCACAGTTTTATCGGGCCGCGTTAAAAGGATTGACCGGCAAAGTATCGGAGGAGGTTCTCGTTCTTTTTCTCTGTCCCTTTCGTTGTTTCCTTTCTCTCTTTCTCTTTTATTTTCTCATTCTTTTTTTTTTCCCCCCCCCCCCATTCAGTTTTCTCGGCCGCTGTCAGTGTTTGTTCCTCCCGCTTATATACCATGGCGCACTAACCCTTTTCCTCGTCTCGTAATCTAATGCACCTGCGACGTAGATGGCGCCAGTCATGTTCTTCACGGCGAATGCACCGCCTATGTTACCGCTCGTAATCTCATATCGAATACGCGAGGCTGTAAAACACAGAGAAAGATCTTTTTCAGAATTCGGAATTCTTTCCGTGGGTAAACTGCGATGGCTCTTTTGTCCAAGCGTTGCTCACGAAACGATCGGAATTCGACGTCGTAGGAAAATCATTTGGACAAGAAGGGATATAAAGAGTGGGCCAAACACTGGTTTTTCTTACCTATTTTTTTTTTTAATAAAACATCGAAATTTTATTAACTTCAAATTAAATTTTTAGTAGTTTTAGGAAGTGATTTTTGGCCCACCCTATATACAATAAGGAACGTGTGGCAGCGGGAGAAATTCGTCCGCGATTTAAATTGATTTCGTAAGAATTTGAATCTGTAAGAACACTGATGACTTCCGCAACGCGGCGTAGCGAACACTTTTCCTTGTTTGTTCTCTCGACAATTGTGAAAGTTCAAACAGAAGAAGTAGAAAGGAGAACATTGAGAGATGCTTCTTTCCTAAGCTAGATCTCGTAAAACTTGTTGCACGAGTGCAGGCAAATTCTAAGAGCTTGTTGCGATGAGAAAATTCCAATCTTCGAGACTACTATGGTGGACCTGGTCGTGAGAAAAAT